CCCTAAACCCTAACACCCTAAACCCTAAACCCTAAAATTCGAAAAGCGCGACGACTGCCACACTCAACCCAAAACCTCTGGAGAGCCAAACAGTGAAGCTTGATGGAGGAGGCCCACTTGTGGGGTGAAGGGTTCAGGGCTTAGACCCTAGACCCTAAACCCCTAAACCCTAAATCCCTAAACCCCTAGACCCCCAAACCGTTAATCTTCAAGTCCTTGAGGCTCTCCAAAAAAACAAAAACAGGAGCGCCGAGACGCTCCAGGAAGCTGATCCGACGATCGCCGTCCTCGTGGCTCGCTGGCGCGCTTGGGGGAGCTTGTGGACTGGCGTACGGTTTAGGTTTTAGGGTTTCGGGTTTAGGGGTTTAGGGTTAAGGGTTTAATGGTTTAGAGTTTAGGCGTTTAGGGGTTGAGGGGTTTAGGGTTTAAGAGTTTAAGGGTTTTGGGGTTTAGGCATTTAGGGGTTTAGGGTTTGGGGGTTTGGGGTTTAGGGGTTTAGGGTTTAGGGCAGGTTCGAAAGGGGGCTTGAGAATTCTTTATGGAGTTGCTTACACCGTTCTTGCAAAGGTTTCATAAGGATTTAGAAGGGCGTTATAAATCATAAGATATAAGGGTTCGCAGAGCGTTTAGGGTTTAGGGTTCTGCAGAGGTTCTTGGAGTATTTATGAGAATTCCATTGCAAACTTCTTCAGCATGTCCGGGTCTGGTGGAGGTGTTTTGCCCCTTTAGGGCTCAGGGTTAAGGGTTCCCAAACCTTAAACCTCGAGACCACAACCAATCCCTGAAGCCCATGCAACTCAACCCGAAGGCAGACTCGTAATGCGCACCTACAGTGCTAAGCTACCCTACGAGTACTGATCACCTCTACTTATTGCTTCATGAAACGCAAGAGAACCCTGTCGAGGACGGTCGCGCACCTCATCTGCCTCCTTCAGAAGGTCACGGCACTCATGTGCAGACACGACCTCTCAGCGATTTCGATGGCTTAGGGCGGTTTAAGGCAAGTCGACGTGAACACAACTTTCCAATTCACCGCTGGGGCTTTTTGCTGTCCAATCGCTGCCCCTTACTGCAAAGTTCTCCGCCTGAAAAGACTCGTAAATTCTAAACCCTAAACCCCTAAAACCCTAAAACCCTAAACCCCTAAACCCCTAAACCTCTAAACCCTAAACCCTAAACCCTAGGCTGCCGCTCCTCGCTGTGCAAGCCGGGCCGATAGGAGTCAAAAAAACCATGTCTCGACTCACTTCTTGAGACCTCGGCTTAGGGTTAATTGTAGGGGCCTTAATAATTAGAACAGGGCCCCCACCTATGATTATTACAAGGAACCCCCTCAAAATAGTATTGGTAATCATTTAGGGGCCTATATTAAGGGCTTAGAAAGGGTCCTTCCTTCTTTCAGTCCCAAAACCCTAAACTTCAAGCCCCCCCGCACCTCCTGACCATCTGGCTGCCCATTGTTGAGGATGTCCATCAGATCTGTGACGCCAATCCTGGATTGATCAGGGTTTGGGGTTTAGGGTTAAGGGTTTAGGGTTTAGGGTTTAGGGTTTAGGGTTAGGGTGCTCCGAAGCCCTCAACTGACAGCATGTTGGGTTCAGGATATGTTGCATGGGTGCTGTGGGGGCTTGAGATTTCTAGCATCGCTTAGGGCACTGAGTTCAAAAAAAAGCTGAGGGCTCGAGGGCAAAACCTTTAGGACGTGCAAGGGAATGATAGTACTAAAGTGTGCTAAAGATTTCGGCTGCTATATTAACAGAGTCGGATTGAGGCGGTACGGGTGCACAGGCCCACCGCACTTTCGCCCGAACTCCAATCGCCTCAACCAAGCGGGCTGTCCTAAATTCTAGCTCGCTGTAAGATCATAATCAAGAAATACCGACAGATTGCAAGGGAGCCCCATTCTAGAACGACCCCTGTACAACGAGGCATAAAGACACCACGAAACCCCACAAAACTCTCATCAGAACGCCACCTTTCAGCTGAGGTCGCGGCTGCCCATCACCGTCCTACCGAGTTCAACGCTTTAGAGTTCAGGTCTAAATTAGGATCCGTTCTGGGCCCCCAAGAAAGCACGGCACCCTTCCCAGTTGCCTCCAGCTCTGATGCCGGAACTTTGCGAGTGTCCAGCTTTGGGGCCCTGGCAACCCTGCAGCCAAGATCCGTGGTTTAGAGGTTTAGGGTCTATGAGGTCAAGGGCTTAGGGTTTAGGGCTTAGGATTTAGGGTTTAGGATTTAGGGTTTAGGGTTTAGGGTTTAGAAGTCAAGGGCTTAGTGTTTAGGCCTACAGCCCCAACTGCCTGAAGCTCGCTAGACGCCAAACCTCTCGATAGCTGTTTGCACTTTACGCTTCTGTAACCACTGAATCGTGCCTTGGAGCCCTAAACCCTAAACCCTAAACCCTGAACCCCAGGAAAGGGAGACATACAAGGGCGCCCTCACAGTACAGAGTTACGCTCTTGGGGCTGCAGCTAGAGCCATTCCGGAGGCCTTAACACTTAGACTGGGGTTCAGGATGGTATATCACAGTACCGCTGTAAGAAGGAGTGCTAAGCGATAGTTTTCGTAACCCCTCAACCCTAAACCCTGGACCCTCAACCCTAAACCAAACCCCAAAAAATCAGGGGCCCCTTTTGTTGCGTCCTGGTCGTAGATGCGGAAGACGGCCCAACAGACCTCTTCCCTTGCGTAGACCTCTCGGGGCGTTGGTCTCAGATTCCGGGGTTTGTTTACGGTCTGGGGTTTAGGGTTGAAAGTTTAGGGTTTAGGGTTTAGGGGTCAGGGCCTTGGTTAGGTTGAAGGTTTGGGGTTTAGGGTTGAAGGTTTAGGCTTTAGGGTTTGGGGGTCAGGGCCTTGGTTAGGGTTTAAGGTTTGGGGTTTAGGGTTTGGGGTTTACGGCTTAGGGTTAAGTAGGTGTTGAGCAAAGACTTTGGTCACAGACTTCCAAATTTCGGGGTTTTGATTTTGGGCTTGAGGGCTAGGAGTTCGGGTGTTTCGGCAGAGTGTTTTTTAAGTGTTGGGTGTTGGGCTGCTTCAAAGCCTGGAGGTTTGGGTTTGAGGGTTTATGGTTCTCTTGAAGGGCTACCCTAAGCCCTAAACCCCAGAAACCAGAGTATCCCGGATTTTGAATTCGGGTTTCCGCGTTTCGTACTCAAGAAGCAATCCCAGAATTTGGGAACACAACCTGCAGACAATCTAGGTGCCTCATTGATTGGACTAGGGTGTAGTGGTGAAACAAGATGACATGATAGAAATATGTAGTGTAGGGACACATATGGAGCCTGGGTCGGCTGAGGCAGAATGTCGTGAGGGCTTTGTGGTTGGAGGTCTGGGACATTTCCGTAACGTAGTGGCTTATATAATTACCTATACTATTTTGGTGGTTCCTTAGTATAACTACAGTATAATGGGCCCCAAAACCTAATTCTAATTATTAAGGCCCCTATATTACAAGGCTTCGGGGTTTGGAGGTTTTGAGGTTCGGGGTTTGGGCTTGGGGCGCGATGCCGGAAGGTTGGCATCCAGGCTCTCAGTTTCGCAGGCAGCCTTTCGGCAGGCGAGTCGGAAGACTGGAAGAGTAAAGGCATGCAGAAAGAAGACGAAAGCATAAAGGCAGATATCTGTCAACATCTGTGTATATCTGTCTGTCTAATCGATCTGTTGATCTGTCGATCTATCTACTTACCTAGCTTTCCAGCTAGTGGGCTATCTACCTATCTATCTAGCTATCCATCTATCTCTCCAGCCCTATTTCTCTCTCCCTCTCTCTCGCTCTCTCGCAGGCACGCTCTTCATGCAGGCGTGACTCCTCAGCTATCGTCTCCTATTTTCGAAGCCTGAATAGCCAACTATACCAGTCCAGCCATCTTCCAATCTATCTGCATACCTATTGTCTACCGCACTTGTGTGAACGGGTATGTGTATATGCATACATGCATACGTATAGACAGACACACACACACACACACACACACATGCAGGCATACATGTA